GAACGTTGGAGTCTGCAGCAAGCAAGCCTCGTGCTTGCTTCAGTGCCTGGCTGCCGGCCGCCATCTTGGCTGACAGTTAATTTGCATATACTCACTGATTAGCCAATGAAAAGGGTAGCGGTCTTACGCCAATTACCATGTTTCTCTTTTATTAGTGTAGATGATTTTCAACATGAGTGCTAAGACAATTCAATGGGAAAAAAAATTGTTTTTTTCCCCCAACAAATGGTGCTGGGACAATTGGATAGCCTCATGCAAAAGAATGGAGTTAGATCACTTCCTTACACCATATATAAAAATTAACTCAAAATCGATCAATGTTCTAAATAGAAGAGTTAAGACTATAAAACTGTTGGGAAAAAAGACAGATGAAAATATAAATTAGACTTTATCAAAATTAAACTCAAGTGCTTTAAAGGACATCATGAAAGTGAAGAGACAACCTACAGACAGGAGAAAATATCTGCAAAGGGAAGACTTATATCCAAAATATATAAAGAATTCTTACAAGTTAACGATAAAAAGACAAATAACCTAATTTAAAATGTAGGCAAAGATTTGAATAGAGATTTCTCCAAAGAATGCACATGGCCATTAGTCATCAGGGAAATGCAAATGAAAACCATAATGACCTATCCTTCACATCCACTAGGATGGCTATGATAAAAAACACACAGATAATAACATGCAAAAGAATGAAGTTAGAACACTTCCTTACACCATATATAAATATTAATGAGGATATTTTGATATTGGAACCCTCATACGCTGCTGATGGGGTTATAAAAGGGTACAGCCAGTCTGGAAAACAGTCTGGCAGTGGCTCAAAGTGTTAAATACAGAATTACCATATGACCCAGCAATTCTACTCGTAGATATATATCCAAGAGAAATGAAAACATAAGTCACACAAAAGTGGAAACAATCAAAATGTCCAACAGATGAATGAATAAATTAAATGTGGTATATCTATACAATAAAACATTAGAAATAAAGTAAATTAAAAGTAATAAATACGTAAAAAGAAATGAAGTACTGACATATACTACTCTATTGATGAACCTTGAAAACATTATGCTGAAAGAAGCCAGTGACAAAAGACCACATGTTGCAGGATTCAATTTATATGAAAGTCCAGAATAGCAAACTATAGGGATTGAAAGTAGATTACCGGGTCTGGGAGGTTAGGAGGGAAAGGGACTGACTGCCAATGGACATAGGGTTTCTTAACAATAGAGATAAAGCCTTTGTAATAACTGAATGTTTGGGATTTTAGAGACCCCTTAGCTTCTGCACAGCAAAACAAAAAGGCAAATGGCAAGATTTCATTTTTACTGATGAGTACCACACCTTCTTTATCCATTCATCTATTGATGGGACACCAACGTTGGCTATTGTAAAAAATGCTGCAACAAACATAGGGATACATATACAAGGTTGGATAAAAGTAAATATATAGTTTTGAGTATGCAAAATACAGTTTATTCTTGTATTATTTATTATTGCATTATTTTCCATACAAACAACTGTAAACCTACTTTTGTCCCTCCCTGTATCTTTCTGAGTTAATGGTGTGTGTGTGTGTGTGTGTGTGTGTGTGTGTGTGTGTGTGTGTGTGTGTTTAAATAAATAGACAGAAGTGGAATTGCCAGGTCAAATGGTAGTTTTATTTTTAATTTTTAAAGGAATCTCTATACTGTTTTCCATAGTGCCTGCACCAATTCACAATCCCACCAACAGTGCTATAGGGTTCTCTTTTCTCTACATTCTAGACAACACTTGTTATTGGTTGACTTTTTTATAACAACCATCTGACAGGTATGAAATGATATTTCATTGTGGTTTTGATTTGCATCTCCCTGATGATTAGTGATGCTGAGCATCTTTTCACGTGCCTGTTGGCCATTTGCATGTCTTCCTTGGAGAAATGACAACTCATGTCCTCTCCTCAGTTTTACTGGTAAATGTTTTTGATGTTGAGTTGTATGAATTCCTTGTATATTTTGAATATTAACTCGTTGTGAAATATATCATTTGTGACTATCTCCCATTCAGTAACTTGTCTTTTTGTTGTGTTAATGGTTTCCTTCACTGTGCAGAAGCTTTTTAGTTTGATGTAGTCCAATTGTTTATTTTTGCTCTTGTTTTATTTGCCAGAGAAGACATATCCAAAAAGATACTACTAAGACTGAGGTCAAACCCCACTGGTGTGACTCAATCAGTGGCTGAGTATCAACCTATGAACCAGGAAATCATGGTTCAATTCCTGGTGAGGGCACATGCCTGGCTTTCGAGCTTGATCAACGATTCTCTGTCATCACTGATGTTTCTATCTCTCCTTTCCTCTCTGAAATAAATAAAAATATATTTTAAAAGACTGAGTTCAAAAAAGTTTACTACCTATATTTTCTTCAATGAATTTTATGGTTTTAGGTCTTACATTTAAGTCTTTAAACCATTTTGAGTCTATTTTTTGCATATGGTATGGGTTGCTCAGTTTAAATTTTTTTGGCATGTATTTGTACAGTTTTTCCAATACCACTTATTGAAGTGACTATCATTTCTCCATTGTGTATTATTGCTTCCTTTGTCATAAATTAATTGACCATATAAGTGAGAGTTTATTTTTTGGGCTCTCTATTTTGTTCTGTTGATCTATGTATCTGGTTTTGTGCCAGTACCATATTGTTTTAATCATAGGTTTGTAATATAGCTTGAAATCAGGAAGCAGATACATTCAACTTTGTTCTTTCTCAAGATTGCTATAGCTATTCAGGGTCCTTTGTGGTTCCATATAAGTTTTAGGATTTTTGTTCTAGTTCTGAGAAGAATCCCATTGGTATTTTGATGGGGATTACATTGAATATGTAGATTGCTTTGGATAGCATGAATATTTTAATGATATTAATCCTTACGTATATATTTAAATTCAGTTTAACTTATATCATTTATACTCTCTGTATTTTGTTTTTCTCAATTAAATTTTAAGAAAATTTTCATCTTAAAACACATTCTTGCCCTAGCTGGGATGGCTTAGCTGGTTGGAGTGTCCTCCAATATACCAAAAGATTGCAGGTACAATTCCTAGTCAGGTCACATAACTAGGCTGCAGGTGTGTTTTTTTAAATATATATTTTATTGATTTTTTTACAGAGAGGAAGGGAGAGGGATAGTTAGAAACATCGATGAGAGAGAAGCATCGATCAGCTGCCTCCTGCACACCCCCCACTGGGGATGTGCCCGTAACCAAGGTACATGCCCTTGACCGGACTCGAACCTGGGACCCTTGAGTCCGCAGGCCCAGGCCGACGCTCTATCCAGTGAGCCAAACCAGCCAGCGCAGGTTGCAGGTTTTTTGTTGCTGCTAATTACTTAAATTGATTGGTTGGTGATCGCTGCTCCAAAGGTTTCCTTAAACCAGCAGTCGCCAACCTTTTGGACCTCACGGACCAACCACTGGTTTACAGACAATGAAAAGGAGATTCTGCAATTTATCAGCAAGATGAAAATTCACTCAAAAAAATTTACTAGTAGGCCTCTATTATTCATTAATTTAATTCAAAAATATTTAATTCAAAAAATATTTTTGGAGTACCTACTTCAAGCCATACCAGATATTGTTCTTCAATTTGGGGATACAACTGTGAAGGAGACAGTGTCCCTGCCCTCAGGAACTTGTACTCTTAGGTTACAACTCATTTGCTTTGGGATAGCTCTTATTTTTTAGGACTTTTCCCTCAAGAAGGTGCAAGGCTTCTAAACATTTGTAAATAGGAAATGGCTTGATTACCTATTGGTTTCAGAAAGCTATCTCTGTCAACGGTGCAAATCTTTGACAATGCAAGATTATAACTTGAGAAATAATTATGGGAATTTATGTTGAAAGGGCATTGAACTTTTGAAGTAGAACATTAGCAGATAAAAGAAATACAGGCATGCCAAAACCGGTTTGGCTCAGTGGATAGAGCATTGGCCTGTGGACTGAAAGGTCCCAGGTTCGATTCCGGTCGAGGGCATGTACCTGGGTTGCGGGCACATCCCCCGTAGGAGATGTGCAGGAGGAAGCTGATCGATGTTTCTCTCTCATCGATGTTTCTAACTATCTCTCTTCCTTCCTCTCTGTAAAAAATCAATAAAATATATTTTAAAAAAAGAAAAGAAATACAGGCGTGTTTGTGTGTGTGTGCGCGCGCACGTGTGTATGCGTATGTGTGTAGCAAAAGCTGTATAAAGTGGATCTGGCAATTGATTTCTTATTTCTCCAGAACCAGGGTGGTCCGGATTCCCCAAGCAGCTGAGCCCAGCAAAGCTGGGCAGCACTGAAAATCCTCCCTACCCAATACAGCCCTTAGATGGGCCAGGAGAGTAGGGCTGGGAGATTGGCTATATATGACAAAGACCAGGTTGAAAGTTAGGTATAGGAAAGGCAACAAGGTTGGGAGCAAGAGTAGGAAGTGTCCACAACCAGCGAAGGAGCTCCAACTATCAAGCAATACATGGGTAATGGAGACCAAACCAAAACAAGGCAGGAGACACAAAGTTGGTGCCAGAAATTAAATTAAATGATGGCAAGTGAAATCAGAATCTCCCTATCCAAATGCCAGATCTACTAAAATAAAAGTAACAAAATTAAATAACAACAAAAATCACCAGCAGCAACCAAAAAGAAATGGGGTACAACTTTATGCCATATATTTTTAAATATGCTAACCACAAAAGGAAAGATTGGACACTTCTTACTCTACCCGCAACCCTAAAAGTGAATCAATAAAATTCTGAGAATTTTCACTAGTAGGACCACATTTGAAGAGAAATATTAATTTCTGACTGAAGTGTGACAAACATGCCTGGAAAGTGATGGGGATGTAGGAAAAGTGACTGAGCAGGTGCCACCTCATCAACGCCAACTTTTTCAGGCCCCACACTGATTGCAGGACTGGTACAAAGTTCCCTACAGGAATACTTTCTATAGGGTTGAGGAATCCAGGATGGAGGAATTAAATCTCAGAAGAGAAGGAAGAGCTCACATTTTAAAATAATTCATTCACATTGTTCAAAATTTTTAAAGTATTAAAAGATATTCAGAGAAAGTCTCCCTCCCAAACCCATCTTACTACCACTCAGGGGCCTTTCCCACATATAACCAATTATTAATTCCTTCTTTCACTCAAAGTTTATATTTTAGCTATATAACAAACAGCAAATATGTAAGTGAATGTATAAAGGTATATTTTTTCACATTTTCCCCAATTTTTACATAATAGCAACATTTTATACACACTGTTCTATTACTTGCTTTTCTTCCCTAAAAAATATCCTGAAGATCTTTTTATATATCAATACATATATACGTTGTTTTAATTACTAAAGCTTTAGGTTTTAATATCTATGTATTCTTCCAAGCCCTAACCTCAGTGTATAGAATATATAAAAAGGAAAACTCCAATCCTTAAACTCTAGCTCACAGAGGAAAACAATTAAATCTTAAACACTGTGAAAATGCAGTAAGGGAGAATCCAGTAACATTTATATCAGAGCAAATAATATGATTGGACAGGGATGCTTACACTTTAGGAAGATGAAAAGGAATGGCAACCATACAAACATAATGCAAGAAAAAAAATAAAGCATGCATTGCATCTAGGGGAAAGTAAAAAATATATATATACATGGGGGGGAGTCAAATATTAAAGCAACTGGAAAGAAGATAGTAATTATGGAAAACAAAGATAGTCCAACACAGTGATAATTGTTATCCCTAAAGTAGAGAACCTAATACATGGAAAAGTAAATGTTTTCAAGGATATAATCCAAGAAATGAAAAAAACTCAATTTGTACTGAAAAAATACACCGTGTTCCAGAAAATGACAAGTGATAGTGAATGTGTAAAACCGAGAAATTTCTTGGTTACAAAAATATTTCATGGATCCAGACAAAAAAAGCAAGTTACCTACAAAGTGGTAAGAAAATCAGCCTGGCTTCAGACTTCTCCACAGCAACATCCAATGTCAGAAGACAATGAAGCAACACTACAAAGGTCGAAGGGAAAGAAAGTATGTTCAAGAATATTATACCCAGCCAAGACAGCATTCTAATGTAATGGCAAAAGGTAAACATCACTAAATAATGAAAGGGTTTGCCATATAATGCCAATGTGACTGACCTTCTTCAGAGACACATGCTGTCAGAAATTTAGTCAAACAAGAGATAAGTCAAAATAAAGAATTCAGGAATGGAGAAGTCATGATAAAAAAGCCCGTAGTAGGCAATGAATCCATTCAAATATATTGATAAAACTTAACAATTACCAACAAGTACAGTAATTATGGTTATAGAACATAGTGTAAGTGCTTATAAGCCACAATAATAAATAGTATGTTTTTTAAATTGGAGTCAGGGCCCTGGGTGGTGTGGCTCAATTGTTTGGAGCATTGTCCCGTACATCAAAAAGGTTGCAGGTTTGATTCCCCCTTGGAGCATATACCTAGTTTGAGGGTTTGATCCTGTCGGGGAATGTATGAGAGGGCATGCATGTTTCTCTCTTATATTAATGTTTCTCTCTCCCCTTCTCTCTCTCTAAAAAATCAATAAACATGTGCTCAGGTTGGGGGGATTAAAAAAAAAAAAGGAGTTGAGGAAGAGATATAAGAAGAAGTGACAATACTAATTTCCTTAATAGAATTAAGAGATACTGCCTAAAACTAAAATATAGCTAAACATAATTCTAACCTAATTTTTTTTTAAAAGTTCACCCATGTTTATTGAACTTTTTTTTTTTTTTTAAATATATTTTATTGATTTTTTACAGAGAGGAAGGGAGAGAGATAGAGAGCTAGAAACATCGATGAGAGAGAAACATCGATCAGCCG